ATGAATTACATGTTTCTAAAATCTCTGTTAGGTGGCAAAGTCCCTACAAAGTATGTACCAAGTATGTCTGCACAGCATACACCCTCAATTTGCACATTTATCTTTTTGAGGATTTTCACAGAGGAAATTCATTCCATAGCCCCTTATCATACCCATCACAATTACATCCCTACCCCTTACCCCAGCCTTTTCTCATTTCTAAACTGAACTCTAAACCAAATTGTAACACTCAAATAATGCATTGAAAGTCCGTGCCAAAGTGAGGTCGTGCCGCACTTTCCTAAAAACGCCCTCACTCTAATGGTATGTAATTTAAACTGGTCCTCACTCATATTGGCAAACCACTACTCAAAACCCACCCCCATACACAGCAAGTGAAAATGGTGGAAATTGGCCATGAGTCAGTTGAAGTGTCTGAGCTGACCTTCTGCAAGGGCAGAGGTAAATGGAAACATTTAAACCGTGTTACAAACACATATTTGGAAAGAAATAAGAGACTCGGTTTTGCCTTTACAACACCGTTTCTTTCTGCAGAATAAAACTGACTCAAAGACCCACTGGCAAACAAAAAATTATACAGTTGCATCAACAAATCTTGAAGTTCAGTTTTTATTCTGCAGAAATAACCAGTAGCTCTGATTTACTTTAATTTGCATTAAAAGTGTGGGTTTTTTAGGCTGTTCATTTTGACACACTTCTAGAAATCTCTCAGCTCAATCTATGTTGCTTTTCTGCACGTCCGCCTCCTCTCCCTTGCAGTTTGGGGTTGTGTGAGCAGGGAGACTCGTCTATTATTTCATCTATTTCCTAAAGTGTTCCTTGCCAAACAACACTACAGCCTGTTTATTGGATCGGGCAAAGAAAGATACTCACAGTAGCGGAATTAAAGCTGCAGCAGCAAAAAGCCAAATCTTGAGAGAAAAGGTCTCTTTAGAGCTTTCTTTCCCGTTTCGTCTCTGCCCTTATCGCCACATAACACTAAGCAGGAATCAGCTGGTGTGTGGGTGAGAGAGGCTGGATGGAAAGAAGAGTGTAGAGAGAAAGAGAGGGAGGGAGCTTAGACTGAGAGTGACCAAACTAGTGCAAGTAAACAATCGAGCAAAGCATGTGATAGGACTAGCAAAGAAGGGAGCCAGGCAGAGTTTAGACTGCAGAACAAAGGCAATACAAGGGCACATTACACTTCTGTTACTGACCCATCTCCATGTGCTTTCTTCACTGCTTACATTCAGCCAGAGTGGAGACTTTGGGCTCACATTTGTTGAGGTTACATTAGGACACACAGTGGGCTATCTCTTACAGTACAAAATGAGAGATGAGTGCTTGTATATGAACAGTCAGACAGAGATTTCGGGAAATAAAGGGTAAAGTTTCTACGATTTACCCCTAATTCATGCACAAGTGCACGCTGGCACCAGGTCCTCATTAATCTCATAGCTGTGACCAACTGCTACTGGGTTATATGTGGTGCACAAGCTGGTCAACAGTCTCCTATGTGCAGGCAGGAGGACAGGGGTCAAATAAGGACAGACTTTTCATAGTAACCTCACACTGCTCAGTTGTGTGAGTCTGCCAAAATACCTAGAACCCAAAATGCAGTTAAGGTGGTATTAACCTTTTAAACATTTCTTCATGAGGGGGTGGGGACATAAAAAGCACTTTTCAGTTAAACTCGACTTAAAAAAAGGAAAATAAAGCAGACATGTTGTTATTAAAAAGCAAGGGAGCTAGTCAGGAATGTTTCTTTCACTCATGTTGTTTTATATAACCCTAAGATTATACGCTTTGGTTCACTGACACTATCTGAGTTTATAGTCTGGGAAATGCAGGAAAAGCTGGCTGATAATGTAAGCCAGCCAGCATGGGTCAAAGTACAGCTAGAGTTATTTGCTAAGAAAGGAAATCTTGTCATAAATTATTATCCCATCTTTGTTTAGTGTTCCATCTAAGTAGATAAAGAATTTTAAATGCACTTTCCAGAGCGAAATCAAAAAGACAGAGTAAAAAAGTGCCATTTTTCTCCTAAGTTTTGGAATTCAGCCAGGTGGTAGTGTGAGGCAGGAATGCAGAGTTGGGGGAACGTCCTGCCCATGCTGCTTCCTTCCCTACCATCTGTAGTCATAATCAAAGTACACTCTCTGTCAGTTCTAGAGTTTTGCATATCTGGACACAATAAAAAAGATCTAGTCGTTATCAAGT